ATATTAAAATTCACAGTATATTTTTAAGTTTTATAATGTCACCTCCAATGGCCGTAAAGGTTCCCGAAAAGGCCTCAAAAAGGCCCGCGGATTACCAGTTGATTTTCACAGCCGTGGCTTGTTTTGCGGCTCTGGACACATTTTATCAGTGAGCCGAGGAGCAGAAATGGCTCTTTTGATGGTAAAGGTTGCAGACTCCTGGTTTAGACAAACTCATCTAGGTCACAAAGAAAACAGRTAAGTTTCATTTTAAACAGAATCTGACATGACTCAGCAAATATAACCATCAGTGGATGTATCACTGAGTGGTTATTTCTATTCATTATGTTTATAAACTTTACACATATATGCAAAAGAAATATATGGTCAACATAAGGGAACTTGCAACATTTAATATTTATTTAATTTTATTTTTTCACTTTGTAAGGTTTTTATGTGAATCGGGTTGTGTTTTATTTTAAAGTTTTGCAGAAATGTACAATTTTTTTTCAAATCTACAACTTTGAGTTACAAATTTATTCGCCTTTCCTGCTGTAAAGTGCAACCTCAGACTCCCAGTCTGTTGTTTTTAGTTGCGGTACCGTTWCCAGCCAGTGGAGGACCTCAAGAGTCTTTGGCAAAAAGTGAACCCAGAAGGAATCTGGGATTTCTCTATTGACACTCTTCACCAGGTAGTCRTCATGTGAAATGGGAGAACGGATTTGTACAAATAATGAACAAGTTATAGTTCACATTTAGTAAGATTATATGAATACTTTCTTATAATCCTCATGAATATTATATGTTCTGTTGGTTTGTCTTTTGTGCTTTTATGCTGTACTGAAGGCTGTGATGTCTTATGAGGAGCCCCCTTCAGCCCCCCTGACCAAAGAAGAGGCCCTAGCTGAGCTCAACTCTCTGTATCTGCACCTCTGTCAGCCATCAGATGACATCAAATTACCACYAAAACTAAAAGCTGCCTTTATAGAGTAAAGCATGGACACACATGAATTAGTCACAGTCTGTTTAAACTGATGTTTTCCTTCAAACTGTGCATTGATGTGGTTGTGGTGGTGTGTGTCGCCCCCTGCAGGAAGAAACTGACACAGGAAAAAGTAGCTAATGAGGCCATTAGACTCCGTAAAGTGTTCGGCATTCCAGAGGTGGAAATGAGTGTTGATGGAAAACAGAAAGCTGTCATCGCTGACGCTGGTGAGGTTCAAACATTTGGCACACAGTATAAAGCAAAAGGAATTTATATTCAGTGTCACGTACGGTCCTTTAGAGCAGTGGTTCCCAAACTTTTTATCTTCTGACCCACGAAATATCCATGGCAAAAACTTGTGACCCCAAATATTACTGG